GCTCGATAGAAAGAATGCGCGTCTACGGAGAAAAAAATTGTCTACAGACATATTGACTATTGAATTGATCCCAGTAACCTTTGACTGATTGCGTAGATACTACTGTTTATCTGGCTGGGTGTTATTCCTCCTCAACACTTTGAAGCATTATTTCTTCGAGTTTTATAGTAAACGCAATGATTCTTTCTGCCCAGTGGCGTGGCTTGCTTTGCGATATCGGTTGATCTGCCATTAAAACGTATAGAGAAGGATCGGTAAACCGGGTGTTTGCAGCGAACACCGTAACAATCGATTCTTTACCACAGCTTCAGATGGAGAATATCGATAATCGATCATTCAATACTCGCAATTGCAATACTCGTGACCAAAGAGATTCTGTTGTTTCTTCCATGAGAAGTAACATTAAAAAAATAGAAATCTGGAAAATATTTTCTCGGTCTTTGAGTTTTATATTCTTTCTTATTTTCACCATGTTCCAAAGTTGTCCACTCCAATTTTCAGCCGACCTTTTAAATTCCGTGGGTAAATTTATATGTAGAGGCAATAAGACATTAAATGTAGCCCGCTTACATTTAGGAAATCAAAATTTAATCACAGTATTTTGTGAAATAGAAAATGCATTTTCTAAATTAAAAACGCCGACAACTTTCATGCAAGAGGATTATTTGAACTACATTTTGCAATTCGGAACTATAATTCCTGACTCAATATAGAAACAACCTATGTAACATTAGTTTCCCTATGCACATAAGTGTTTTTACAGTTGAGCCAGAAATTATAGTTCTTAATTGCAAAATGCAGTTCATCTTTACTTCATTTATGTGCATTGATTCTACGCCATTGAGCCCGGACCTTTGGGAAAATTCGACCACAGAGGCAATTTAAAGTTGAGGACAATTTTCCTCTATGCAAGCTTCAAGTTTTCAATGAAAGACGAGATGGTGTTCCAAGAAACCCTCAATTTTTCTTAACTACGTAATTAGAGTGCCAATTTTTCTTTCTGTATGCACAGCGGATATGGCGGTCGCAGTGCAGGGTTCCGGATATTAATAAAAAGGGACAGATGAGCCAGAGGATCTCATAACTTTTTTCGAGTTTGGTGATGCCGGAACCTGCTATCCTAACCGATGTCTAGGTCCAAGGTCCCTTACTCCTTTGTCCCTTCTCTCTCTCTCTGGCCAAAAGCCAGCATAATCCTGTTCAACATAACCCGCGGCTTGCAATAAACATCAAACAAACAAGTAGAAAAACTTTCAGGAGGAATGCCACGAATTGTTCACTCCGCCGGAATTTTACATAGCCCTAAATTTTGTGTTTAAAAGGACGTTCTTTTGCGGGACATACCTGGAGTATAAAATGCACGAAATTGTCATTCGAGAGGGTACGAAACCGCAAAATATGACTCGACTCTATAACCAGGAGTATTCAACTCTTCGAGCGGTTTGTGTTTGAGTACTTACTGAGAGAGAATATTGCTTTGTATTGGGCGCTCCTCAATTTGTTCACTAGTTTTATTCGAAGACCTTTCATAGGGCTTTCATGGCTTGGTACTAGAAAACCGCAAACTCAGATATAATAAATCAGAGATGAAAAAGGCACCGTATTTTTCAAAATTTGTTTTCACGAATACGTAATTTTAAACGTTTTAAACTGATAATTTCTTATAGTGTATAAAATTCTATCGCCAGCTTATTAGTATTCACATTGATCCTCAGATCTCCTGTACCAGGATAATTAAAACGGCAATTCTGTCTCTTTCTAAATCGTCGGATTTGCGTTACTGGCCAGTCTGCTAAAATCTGGATGTTCTGGGCAGAGTAACAAACTAAAATCATTGTCCAACCAAAATCTTGAATGAGTGAATACGTGCTTCTCTTTGCTGTTGAATTCTACATAATTTAAGGACGAAGTATTTTTCTTTCTTATGAAAAACGAAATTTCACGGTAGAAAAAGAAACGGGGAAAAATATATCCAAGTTAATGAAGATGTGAGTAAAAAGAAGAAGAACAAGAATTTCATATTAACAATTAACAATATGATGTAATGTTGTGATGACAAGCAAGAGAGCAATAGATTGATATCTCCGTCAGTTAATGGGTCATGTGATGTGAGTCACGTAGAAGTTAAAATACTCGTATCTCTATTTTATGTTCAGAGACAGTTTGACAACGTAGCAAGATGACACAGTGTGTGAAATTCTCATAGAAATGAGAATATGGTCCTATAAACTTACCAATTTTTCTTATTATCTCTTCACGATTTTTCTTCGTAAATTTAGTGTGGTTCTTTCTTTCCTTTTACGATTTGACGACTTCCTTACATACCGATTTTAAGTGTCATTTTCATATCCCTGCAGTATCGGTGTATCTATAAATGAAAAAGAGAAAAAAGAAACCAATAAAAACAATATAAAAGAAATCAAATGAGTTTTTACTATGTATCAGTTTATTGTCTGCACCTATGAATGGCATTCATTCCCTCCAAGTTTCCTCTCCCTCCTTTCATCAGAGGCGCTTTCCTCCGTAGGCAGTTTTGGACACTTCTATTTCCCTTGCAACTGATTTGCGGTCAGTCTGGCCTGGCAGTGGCCCCTCTGGTCATTCATACATTACAGTTACGTTGTTATTGATATAAACTCTTCGCCGCTTTACCACTCAATAATGAATGTTTTTTGTTTCGCGTTAAAAATTTAAAAAAGAGAAAAAAACTATCGACCTCTAGAGAGAGATGAAAAAAATTTATTTTTCGGTCATAATTTGTTTTTGACTCAACCATTCAGCTCAACGATCAACCCATTCTCGCATTATGCTTTCTCCCATTCACCATTTCGTTTTTTCCTTTTCGTACCATTAATTTCAGTCGTAAGTTATGCTAAGAGTTTTCATTAAGGTTATTCCCGACTAAAGGCCAGAGGACACTTCATGAATGTACAATAGGGCGATTGAGAGATACTACGAGTTTGTATCAGGATGCGCAATGCGTTTGATACAAATATTTTAACTCCGGTGTGAGTAGTGGAGTATCACACGAAAGTGAAGGCGTTTTTGACCGGTGAAAATAGTATTTTGTAGCTCACAACAAGAAGCAGATTGATTAAACTCGCATCTCTCCATCTTTCCATCGAATACTTAAGTCAGAATCAGCTACGAAACGAAACACTTTCAAGAACATCAGCGAATCAGGCAAACAGGTTCCATTAATGATTTTCCGACTAAATGCGAGACAATTCTTCATGAATGTTCGATGAGCGATTGAAAGACCTTACAAGGCAGTGTCAGGATGCAAAATCATGTTTGATACAAATATTTTAACTCCGGTGTGAACGATGGAGTATCGCTCGAAAGTGAAGGCGTTTTCAACTCGCGGAAACAGTTTGTCGTAGCTTACAGCGACGCGCACCACGTAAACGAATCGAACAAACCCGAATATTCCCACCATTTCTTCGAGAACTTAAACTGATTGTGAGTCAGTATCTACTAAATACGAAACACTATCTTCATGGGCGTAGATGGGAAGGGTCCTCTTGGCTTGGGGCCCAAAACCCCTCAGAAAAGTTGTGATCGTTTGTATGCCACTGATTGTATGCGTGGGACACCCCTGAGAGGTTAATTAGCCCTTGGTCTCTAGTCTCATAAAATTTTGTATAGTTAGGGCCAAGGTCGATGGATCCGGGTCAGTCCGATAACAAGATGTTCTTTGGAATTTCCCGATCTGGCGACGAACTTCCCCGATATTTGATGTTTCACAACTACTTTCCAAACACTTTCCCGATTTGCGCTGTTCTGTAGCATAGTTCTCGCGGTCTCCCCGATCTGCATAAGAACATTATAATCGGATCGGGGGAATCTTTTGGCAACGCGGACAGCCCTCGCCATAAGGTGGCAAAATTTCATGAAAAATAAAATATTGAAATTTCACGTGAAATATTTCATAAAATTTTAGAAATTTATTAAAGATATTGAAAAATACCGGTTCCTTTCCATATTTCGCAAAAGTAAAAATTGTGACTTTCATCTATTTTTGTGTGTTTAAGTGCGGGTTCCATAGTTTAGCTACTGAAAAATATAAAGTATTACACAGTCTCGTGAAATTTCAAGAAATATTTCTCTGAAATTTCCAATATTTCATTCCTTTCTTACGTCTCATGCCACCCTGCCTCGCGACCGCACCGTTTGTCAATGATTGTCACCCTCAAATTTCTTAACGGACTGCATGACCTGGGTCTATCGACCTTGGCTAGGGCTGTGTACATTTTTCTTGTATAATCATGGTGACCTCTGCATGGCGCCAACCAGAATCCATCAAAAACGGATGTCACATACGTCTTTCCTCTCACTATTGAGGGACCCAAGAGACNACACATTGGATCTAGATTCCAGACTCTTGGAAACATCGTCAAGAAAAAGGACTCTTGATTCAATCAGATTTAAGCTTAAATCAAGAACCAAGCCTCTTAATTTGAGCGGATTTCCTTTTGATTTAAGCTTAGATCTGATTGAATCGAGAGTCCTTTTTCTTGTCAATGTTTTCAAGAGTCTGGACTCTAGATCCAATGTATTTTTTTTTTTTTCCAGTGCTTTTTTACGTATCATGTCACCCTGCCTCGCCACCGCACCGTTTAGCAATGATTGTCACCCTCAAATTTCTTAACGGACTGCATGACCTGGGTCCATCGACCTTGGCTAGGGCTGTGTACATTTTTCTTGTATAATCATGGTGACCTCTGCATGGCGCCAACCAGAATCCATCAAAAACGGATGTCACATACGTCTTTCCTCTCACTATTGAGGGACCCAAGAGACTGGCGGATATAGCGGTAACATTTTGGTAATCCCTGGTTGTTTTGACTGTCAACAGGTTTGCCGGCGGCTCTGAGCGGGTGATCGGGACTCGTGGGGCTCTGGATGTGCCGGAGCGGAGGAGTCGGCCGCCCCCGCCCCCTCGCGCCCCCCGCGACGGCGACGCGCGTACCTCGTGGTCGCCGCGCCAGCCGCGCTCCTCGCCGACCGACGCAGTTGTGCTCGCGCCGTCTTCCTAGCGGGACGCATGGTGTCAAGTGTGTGGTGTCGTGTCAGTGCTCACAAATGTCGGCCCCAGGATCTGGGCCCACCGCCCCTCGCACCGCCCCCCTCCCCCCCGACGGCGGCTGGGGCTGGGCCGTCGTCTTCGGATCCTTCATGATACACATCGTCAGTAAGTCACACTTGAAATTTTTCATCTCACCTACCACGACGCGGTTAAGACCGAAATGCTAAATGACATCCAGAATTTGCGCGGGCTCGAATTTTGGTGATTTTTTTCAAAAATAGTAACTGCCAAGTACGCTAAACACTAGGACGTGCTCGGTTTTCAAATCGAGCAATTATTAGAGGAGTTATGACTCATTGACCCTATTCCCCAAAACACACGTGTTCGCCGCGCCATGACGTCATAGAGCGGTTCAGTATCTCACTTTAAAATTCATTTTTCTCTAATTGACAAATAAGTAAAAAATCCTGCTAAAATTGTCTGCCCTTCGATCACTTTCGCTCGTAGCAGTAAAATTTCCCCCGCCAATTCTTAATTGTATGTACCAGCATGGTAAATAGTGAGTGATGAAAACCTTCCCGAAAATTAAAAATTCCTTGGCTCAACCCGAAGGAAAATTAACTCGATAAATCCTCCACGTGTCACCTTTTCTCGGACTTTTTACCCCGGTGTGCAGCGTGGTCGCGGGTCACTCGTAAATTACGTCACGCTGGAATTCGGCATTGGGTCCCCCCTTCCCCCCTTGTCTCGGGAGACTGAAATCCGCTCCTTTGCCTCTGAAAAGTTTCGTCTCGCTTTGCTAGAAACGCTCCCATGTGAGTATGAATACTTAGAGGTAAAGAAAGCAACAATTCAAAGGACAATGGACCACTAGACAAGGTACGAATTTCAGCATTTTGATACATGTTTTGTAACTAAAATTTCACGTAGAACACGATGCGCACATAGAAAATTACCGAAATTAACTCCTTACGAAGATATTTAATGATTCTTGATGCGTGAATTCAAACCACCCGCTCATGAAAACTCAATGCTCTACGTGATTCACATCGCGCGCTAAACGTTATCGTGACAGTTTCTGCGATGTAAACATCTGGCAACCTCAATCTTGACGCTTTGGCTCAGCTATAGCAAATTGCTAATAGTTTGAACAACACATGGTGGAAAATGAACATTGCTCGGTTGAGAGGCTTGCTGAAACCGTTGTAGTGCGCGATTTGACTCGCGTAGAGCTTTGAGTTTCTTGTGAGCGGGCAGTTCGAATTCCTTGTAGCGCCAATGTGAAATAAAAACGTTAATATCTTTGTTAGGAGTTGGTTTCAGTAATTTTCGTTGTGTGAATCGTGTTCTACGTGAAATTCTGGTTAAGAAACATGTATCAGATTACTTAAATTCGTACCTTGTCTAGTGGTCCATTGAAACATTATAAGAAGAGAGACATTTTTTTGAAACCTAACAATGTACGAAAATTTAAGAAGTGTGGAAGCAAAACTAACGAACCGAAGCAAAGAGAAATATACGAGTCATTGGGGTGGCGTACCAGTCGAAAATATTCCAAAAAGTTCCAAAATTGTTGACTGTTTTTCCTCCTTTCCCCCATACACCCATCTTGTTAGATCCTGGTTTTATGTCAAGTTTTCTAAAATTCAGCAGGAAATGCGAAAGAAGTGTGCAGTAAATGACTATTAAAGAGAGCAAAGTCTTGTGCCCTCTTAGAACGTAAAGAATTGCTCACAATTAGTTTGAATCAGAAAGAACAGCTCAGATAAATCCTTGTCTGAACTCAGCAAACGTGCTGATTTGTCAGCTCACCTGGGAGTTCTAAACCAGACACCCTCCCTTCCCCCCTTATAGTGTGTGACGTAACTTATGCATGGCTCCATCCAACTATTACGTGGAAGGCTCTTGGTCAGTAGTCATCCTAAATTTGAATATTTCGCGTGCTCCAGCTCTCGGGTCTTGACCTCCAAGTACGAGAGCAAGGCAAACCACCCAGTGATTTTTGGAGGGGCCGTTAAAATCACGGTACGGGGAGGAACTTGTGTTTATTTGATCGGAGGGACCAAGTGTTTCGCTTTCGTCCGTTTCCCTTGCCTCGTAAAGATTTTAATGACTTATTGTCAGGTATAATTCTTCTTTGGTTAATTAATTGTTAGGACGCTCACATGGCCGTTGGCATCCAACATACAGTTATGCAAACTTTTAAGCTGTCATTCTCACTGATGTCATAAACTTCCATAGAGAATCGTATATTACGTTCACAGCACTGGCAAACTTCAACCGTTTTTCTGGACCCTCCATTTTCACCCTTCGGGCTTTGAATTTCAATATCGGTGGTGAAACACCCCAAACCACGTCATTTTGCGACGTTTCAGATTTCCTTCCACACTTCTATTTTTAAACGGAAAACTACTCGACAGCACTTCTGAAAAACTTTCGTGATTTATCTTTCCTGCGTGAGAGGCAAAATTCGATAAAATTTAAGTACAAGGGATGATGTTGATTTATCCCCCTGTAAAATAATAAAATAGGAGCGGAGATTTTTAAACAACACAAACTAAACACGTGGTTTGGGAATGTCATCGTCGATATGATGCTTTGGAAAAAAAAAACACATTGGATCTAAAGTCCAGACTCTTAAAACATCGACAAGAAAAAATACTCTGGATTCAATCAGATTTAAGCTTAAATCAAGAACCAAGCCTCTTAATTTGAGCGGATTTCCTCTTTATTTAAGCTTAAATCTGATTGAATCAAGAGTCCATTTTCTTGTCAATGTTTTCAAGAGTCTGGACTCTAGATCCAATATTTTTTATCCAGTGTGAGTCATACTCTGACCTTCTTGATGTGTTTTGCACAATGATTGACCCCGAAACAACTTCTCCAACTTGTGGTTTAGCCATCACATTTTTTTAAAAAAAAATATTCCTCGTAAGATCTCCTTCGCCCGACTTTTTCACCACCACAGCGATGCTTTACGGTACTATGTGGAAGGAGCTATTGGGGACGAGGATCAGAATCAGAGAGCGCATTTGTGAAATATTTTAACCCGACTATGACGTGATAGCGAGACTGCCAAGTCATTATCTTATCACTACGTCAGCCTTGTGTATATAAACATCTGTTGCTACTCGTTTTCATTATCGGTCGACTGTGCCATGCGATGAGCTTGACGGCAATCGCAACCGTGGGTGTCCCTTGTCATCACGGAGGCAAATGAGCTTTCTCATCTCTTTACCAGTGCTTTCATTGTCGCTGCTCCAGATTGGAGCTCGTAAAGTTCACTAAAAATTGCATGAGCATGCCATTTGATTGTTTGATAACGGGCTCCTCTTATCATTACACTAGAATAACCTAGAATAAAAGAATGTAATTCTTGCATGCGTGTGGGATTTGCGATTCATGTACTACTATTTACGTACAATTTTGCGGAAAACACAATGTTACAACCGGTTTTCTCTGAAATCCACTCCCAAGCGAAGAAAATCTCTCTAAGTTGAGGACGTTATGGAGGGGATATCCCACACTACCCTTAGAGTCCACATTTATATCAAGACAAACTCTCTATGCAAAGATAGGGAGGGAATACATTAACAAGGTTGTCACTTTGTTGGAGAACTCCAAAATTGAAAACACGGCAACCCTTCTAATGCATTTGCTCCGAGTTTGCACAGAGAGTTTGTTTAGATATAGGGGTGGACTCTTAGGGTAGCGTGGGAAATCCCCTCCATTACGGCCTCAACTTTTAAAGCTTTTTTTAGGCTTTTGAGTTGATTTCAGAAAAAACCAGTGGCATCATCGTGTTTCTTGCGAAATTTTATACAGATTTACAGTGTTTAAATCGCAAATTCCTGGTACAAGAAAGAGCTCCATTGTGTTCAAAAGGCGTTTTTCATTAGCAAAGGAACAAAATTCACCTGCCTCGGATGAAATGAGAAATGATGTGCACTGTCGAGGGAAATTTAGAGGGTTAGATGTTAAGTGTCCTCGGTTTGTTCTCGCTTATAAAACCAAGCAGATAAACTCCGCGGAAGTTTTTATGTTCCTTTAAACAACGTAATTACTCTCGACTCGTCAAAGCTGTCGACTTGCACCGAGTTACGGTGTCAGCTTTTTTTACGGTTCGACGGAATAGAATACACCTTCTTTCCTTCCCGTCGACATTCCTGAACGCCCATCGTAATCAAACCAAAGGGGTTTTACAAGAAATAACGAAACTGCACTCGAGTTTGAGTTGATCGCCTTTTTTTCGTCTGGCGGCCGCCCCATTCATTTTAATCACCGCGGCTAACACGTGCTAGTGACGTCGGTAAGTCGTAATGCGGAGATTGGCCGAATCCCTACATTACATGAACATGATATAGATATCTCCCAGTGAAATTAATTTTGATACTCGAACTTCTTCCTCAACTTGGGTCTCTCCAAGTTGAGAGCTACCCATCGCGCCCCTCTGCCGAGATAGCGTCGATAGCGAGAAGGGCAGTAAGTACATGCTGGGATGAACTTCGAGACACATAAAAGCGTATGCTAACCATGGCTCATGCAAAAATGTACTTACTGCTCTCTTCGCTATCACGGCAGCCCTGATGACGACAGATTGACTGGCTCAACTAGAGATTATGTGGCTAAGTAGTGAACACGAGTAGTTGCAAATCCGTTGCTTTTCATCAAGTGCTCATTAAAAACGGTCGATGTATTTTTAATTTCCTGATAAATTAAGTCCCTGTATTGTTCTTAAAAAAATAGCATCGTTCGGTTGTCAGGTAGGGACTTACGACAAGTAGGCGAGAAAAATTGTCAGGTTTACATCAGAATTAGTCCAACTGAGTAAAACAAGACGGTCTCATAGGAATATATAACGGGCTCCCAAAGGAACCCATTGGAAATCGGCCCAGGTTCCCATGGAGATAAAAAATCAAGAACCAAGGTCCCTCTGGGAGCCTTGAAAGTTCCATTAACGTCACTCTGATCGCGCTTTGGTTCTTTTTTCTCCTCAATCGCCCCATAGGGACACGCAGCGGGCTTATTTTTGAAGTTGATAGACGAAGCAGTTGACAAAAAAGACATACGGAGTATTGAGGGATTAGATTGGTTGTTATGAGTGGTTCCTATAGACTAAGAAAGAAAATGCTGGACTAACTATGCATAGGTTCTCTCGTGGGTCG